CAAAAAGAAAATGAAGATTATTATTATTATTATTATATTTACGAGACTCGACACAGATGCCTAAAAATTTACTTTTGCTATCTGAAAAAAAAGTACGCATCTCCCTCACACAATATCAGAGTGAACAGAAGTGACGTCAGGATGGAGGAGTTGCTCTCGCGATCCTTCGATACTTTTCGATGAACTCCTTCGTTCTTTCAATTTTCCAATATTACCGCTGTGACAACCAACCCGTGAGCTAACCATACCCGGTCTCCCTAATAGCTCAAAAACTGCAAACTCACCAAACATAACTACAGCTGGTACTATAAATATGTTTGCTCCAACTTTGGTATTTCTTAGTTCATGAAATACGATATCTGTTGTCACAACTCCTTGCATAAATTCGTCAAAAAATTAATATTTTGTCACTGATTCTAACTGGTATCCTTATAATATTTTTTTTTTTCAGAACCAGTGAACTAATTGCGCTGATGGCACTTTCGACAACACTGTTTCTTTTCCTACACACCAGAGACCTGAATATAAAATTGAGAGAAATGGAAATCAAGATCCAGCCTGACAGTATGGTATCTGCTAACCAATTGATATCAAGTTAGTTCAATAGTCTGAATTGCAATTTGATCATCCTATTGTATTTCACAATACACATCTGCAAATACTTTATATATACCCAACTTCTTTATTAAAGTGACAAGAATAATCAACCAACTTCTGATAACTTTGGAAAAACAAAATAATTTTGAATATTTTCTGAAAGTTTACCTGAGTAATTGATGATACTGTACTTGACAATATTGTGTTCTCGGCAGTTTGGGTATAATTTACTCATAAGTGTTTTGTGAGTTTTACTTGATATTATCTTTTCTATTAGGATAATTGGTACCTGATTGTTCACTGCAATTTGCTTAATTATTTTTATTTCATTTTGGAAATTCTTTTCCGGTAAAGGGATTGCGAAAGCTCTGTGTATCATTGACCTAATCGCGGATAACTTATGTGAGAGCGAACTGAAAGAGTCAAAGTCAATTTTGTTATGCAGACTATTGAGAAAGTTTAAAAATTGAATAATTTGTCTGTTTGAACCATCAAAACCAACCAGTACGTCATCAACATATCTGAATCAGAACACAATATGTCAAAAGCTACCAAGCCCAAGGAAGGCAGCAGGCGCGCAAAGGAGGGTTACAAATAAGGCAGCAGGCGCGCGTGTTAATAAAAAAAATACTCTTTGCAAATGAAGAAATGCATGTAAAGTGAGTTCGAATTATATCTAAGAGGTTACGTATAGCGCCATCTGCCCGTGAATAGATCGAGCAATAATGTCGATATATCAAGGAGGTTACGTACAGCGCCATCTGCCCGCGAATAGATCAAGCAATAATGTCGATAATTCTGTCAAATACAGATCCCGATATGAAATGAAAATGAAAGTTACAAAAAAACACACATACAGATGAAGCTAATATAAAGACGGATAACATATTTGTACACATATACTGCATATCTTGAGGGAGAGACTTCTCACCGGCCATGACTCAGTCCGGCAGCTGAAGATTGTTCGATAAATAAAAAAGTTTAATTTGATATAAAAAGCATAATTGATGAATACCAACATGACTTTTAATGGCAAAGCTCCTAGTATTGGGTATCAACGGTACCTAACGTGTTAGAAAGGATGAGTTGAATAAATATGCTGGTGTGCCACATCACAAATTTATGAAATGTGTGAAATTTTTCAATGATAACATATAGCCCAATAATCTTCATTTCATTTGTTAAATATATACCAAATGTACTCTCAACAATCAAATTATTCCAACCATTTTTGAAGAATTCAATTTCAAATTTCCTTATTCAGTGTAAATTTGTTTTTGCAAATTAATTTTCATTATTTNTTGTATCAAGATGGAGTAGTAGAAAGCCAAAAACTTTCTTTCCCAAAAACATATATATGTTGTAGTATTTGTAATTAATATTATTTTTTCTATTCATTGAATGCTTGGATAATTCCGAGCATACATATTTTATTGTTATGAAGTTGGACTGTGACTTTGTCCATCCAATGTCAAATATGTTTCTGTGTATTAGGAAATAAAAAAGAAATTCCTGTGAAAATTTTCAATAATTACTAAACGAGCAAAGTATTGCAATATATGAAGATAAGCACATCTACTCCAATTTTATATGAACTGAATGAAATAAACTTCTATAGTCGAAAATAACTTCTTTGTAAATGATCAATTAAACATTTTAATGGATTTTGTATGGTTATTGCCCGTGTGGACTCCAGTTTTTGAGTTTATAAGATTTTCTAAAGGCAAAAAATCTCAATGCATTTGCCTATATTTTATTCATGAATAAACCGTTGCCACAGCTCTGGGTCTGAGAATGAGTTACATAAGATGTAAACTACGGTTCACATTCACTGAATAGTACCTAATCGATATCACAATGTCTATGGCCTTAAAAACAAAAATAAATGATCACAATTCTTACCAATGCGATGATATACCATGATTATTGTATTAAACAACTCTAGTTTACTACTATCAAAAAAAATGTGTCATAGGTTGAACACCAAAGTGGTGATTCAACTAAAGGATTCCTTTATTGAGGTTATTTAAGGGGTACCAGTTACTCAAGTCTGGAGCAACTGAGAAGGGCTAAAGAATCTGGCAGATGTCCAAATGTTTTCGACAAATTACAGTATGCAGCCTCGTTTCAGTACTGTAGTAGAAAAGATGGTGAAACTCTCAGTAATGGCACAGACAGGTATTACTGGGTCTCCAGGAATTTTACAAATACTTACATCCATGAGTCACAAAAGAAATAGTTTGCAGCTCTCCCAGCTAGTCAAAAACACAACTTTGGATTTTTAAACAGTTATCAGATTTTCGATTTTCAATTATAACAACGATAGAAAAAACCTATGAAAGAAAAACCTCTGTAACAGACAATACTATCCTTAGACACAAGTGTACTTATTTTCAAATCCACGAAGGAATGTATTCAACACATGTAATTAGAACCGGCCACGTCAAAAGAAATTTACAATCTCTCAGTATTATTTATGAAAATTCAAATCCCCAATTACTATAGGGTTCCAAAATTTTCGGTTCCAGGAAAAATTTGAATAATTGCAAAATAATGAAATACACGATTTCTTTTTTTTTTTTAACTATACTCACTGCCAACCGTTTAGGATCTCCTCACAAAACTGAATCGATAGAACTTTTTTTGGTCAAACAAAATTGTTTTATTGAAGAAATCTATACAAGAACAAACTTGAAGCCATTTTTCAAGGATAAAACACAAGCACTACAGGAAAATCCTTAAGGCGCTCTAATAGCGGTGCCTGCGTGAAAGTAGCGATCCATAACTGACTTCCTTATAGAACTATGAACATTCAAGCTTCAGAGTCGTATTATTTAATTAAAGAAACCTTATTACTTATAACGAGCATAAAAACTCAACATTTTATGAAATATGATATTTATTGTTCACAGCGATTTTGATTGTGAATCAATAACCTACAATCACATTTGAAGTCTTAAAAAAGTATCAACCCAATTGAAAACATTTGATATTAATTAATTAAGCAATAATGAAATGTCAGAAAACATGTTGATAATTGAAAAAAAAGGTTAAAATAAAAGTCTGTCGATATTCACTCATTAAATTAAAATAAAATCACCTGTATTTACATTATTTACATTATAAAGTACGAAAAACTACATGATAGGATGAATATGAAATGAAATAACAATCAATCAAAGTCTAATTACGGGAAAAAAAGAGTCTGGTTTTCTTCTTCTTGTGGGGAAGTTCATCCATCTCACATCCACTGCAAGAAAATAAAAAAAAAGTTAGATATGTCAAAAACAAATTTTTTTCAAACCTTACACTCTACTCACTAAGATGTAAACCATACTCGTCTTCTAGTAGAAGCATATATTCTTCGAATAGTCGAATTTAGAGGTCTGCTTTTGTTCAACAACTTATTTTCTCTTAAATAAAGTAAATATATCATTTGTCTTGAATATTGTCTAATAGATTAACTTTTAGAATCCTTTAAAGTTCGATGGTGACATTATCATGTTGAGTATAAAAAATCGTGTCAGTGTTTTACTATCGAAATAGTTATAAATGAAATTGAGTATCAGCCAGCTAACATTTTATATTATGCCTTGGTAGAGTCACACTTGTTAAGTGAAATAAAAGTTTAGGGCTCATGCAGTGATGAATGTTTTCCAATCATCTACACGTTACAGAAAAAACACATATTTTAACAAAGGGAATGGAAGTGATTCACGTAAGTAACTCCTTATTAAACAGAAAATACAATCATTACCTTCATTATTTATTTTTAGCAAGTCTCTTATAGTCCTAGCTTGTTTTCAAAAATACATTTCCAAGTGACATTTCGTAACACCAGACTTCATCAAAATTTTTTACTTCATCTCTAGCACCTAGCTCAAATTGCATGTCACTTTACTGACTCATCACTTGACTTATCATTTGGGGTAACTTCAGCAAGAACAATAATAATTCACTGGTAAAAAAAGGGTTTGGCTCTACTTCACCGTCTTCATAAAAAAATGTGTACAACTCAATGTTCATACAAAAGCAATGGTGTAAGTACTCTTTCTTTCGTGTAAATCAATGTTTATATGAAAGTATGTAGTTGTTTGTCGAAAAAGCTTTTCCTCCAGTTTTTGCCTGGAAGTAGATAGATAGGTAGATAATTTTATTAATATCCATAAATCATTTACATGACATGAAATAAGTCCAATGGTAGTCATAAAGATAAGATAAATATAATAGTTTGAATAGTCAGGTATTTACACATAACAGCAAGTAATTGATGGAGCATACAATATACAAATATAAGTCTAGAGTTGGATGCGAACTATTTACAAAACTTGTTGAAAATATAAAATAAAATGTACATAAAATGTAGCATCCAGCATACAGGAGAGAATTTGTGTATCATGTTTTGTTGAATTGTTGTTATATCCAGTATTGTGCTCGTGAAGATCGCTATTGTTTGTAAATTTATCTTCATTATTAAATGTATAAATTAATAACATATAGGTAAACACATGGGAACGTTAGAATATTTTCCTGTTTGGAAGTATTTCTACAAGATTCGTTATAATCCATGCCAAAAATGAGTCTTATAAATCGTTTTTGGGAAATGAACACTCGTGATACTTCAGTTGACCTACCTCACGTAATGATATTGATTATTGTGAAAGTTTGCTCTATTCATTAGATCAAAATAAAATATCAGCTTTACAGAAACTGCAGAATAGAGGTATACATGCATATAATATTAAAATGCAACCGTTATACAAATATATCATTAATGCTGGATCAGCTTCAATGGCTCTCCGTGAGAGATAGATATTATCTAAATACAATGATTTTCATTCTTAAAATTTTAAACAATCATCTCCCTACCTATTTTAATGACTTCATTGTTTTCAACTCTGATATTCATAGATATTCTACAAGAAATAATACAAATTTTTATTTACCTAGATGCAATCTGTCAAGTACTATGAAGTCCATGTTCTATAGGGGTTTGAACGATTTCAATAAATTACCGAATGATATTAAAAAAGCTCAGATTGTTAAGGAATTCATAAAACGCCTTATCAGATTTATACAAATTGTGAAATGAATTTGATACCTATTTTATATTTTATATTGTTTTGTCTTTAGAAAATTTATATGTAACTACCTGTATACTTATTTTTATTTGTATTTTTTAATATTGGTCTTGTCAGAAAGTCAATGTAAATTTTTTTCTTAATATTTCTACATGTAATTTTTGTATGTAAATTAGGTTTCCTATTTTTCAATAAACTATTATTATTATTATTACAACTGACTGCAGTGCAGACAAGAACGTAATACATGTTAATCAAGTGGTTTCTGTGAAAGTTCGATTTGAGACTAGTAAAAGCATAGTACAGTTTATTCAGTTTTTTACATATGTTATCAATTTGACTGTTGAAGGTTAATTTGTAATCCAGCTCCATACCAAGGAATTTGATGCTTTCTGATGCTAAGATATCAGTGTGGCCTAAGTTGAACTTCGTACTGTTGAAGTGTTTTTAAGACTACTGAATTGGATAAGGACCATTTTTTCCATATTTTTAATGAGGTGATTTCTCTCAGACCATCTAGTGAAGTTCTGCACTACTAGTTGTATATCATTCATCAAGTCAAATGTATCGTTAGCAGTTAATATAATTGTTGAATCATCTGCATAAATGACGACCTGCCTTTTGTTAATGTGCAGAGGTAGGTCATTGATATACAATAAAAACAGCAGAGGACCCAATACTCTACCTTGAGGAGTCCCAAGGGAAATATTTTTTTCCTCTGAAAGCTCTTTATTGACCTCAACTTTTAGGGTTCTACCGGTCATGTATGAAAAAATGAAAGATTGTATGGGATTTCGAATGCCCACTGCTTCTAATTTTATTTTCAAGAACTATGGATTGATGGTGACAAAGGCGCGGGTGTGGTCAAAGAAAAGTCCCACTACATATTTATTTTAATCAATATTTTCATAGATATACTGAATATCTTTTGATGCGGTCTCAATGGAGTAGTTGGGTCGGAAATCGTACTGACACATGACTTACACATCTTTGTAAAGAGTTAATTTTGAAATTAATTGCTTTCTTCCTTCCTTCAGAAGTATCCCACTTTTTTGTCCAAAGATGAAGAAGTAGACTGCCATAACCTTTCTTACCCAAAAAAATAATCGCTCCTAAAAATAGTTCCCTTTAAATTTAAATTTATAATACTTCATTGTCATTTGTATATACAGTGGGTTCCTAAAGGAACGGATAAATTCATTCTCTATGTAATTATGGATGCAATTAAAAAATTATGAATCAGGTAAATTTTTTATAAATGAAAACGCACTTTCTCAATATACTTATTCAACTGCTCATTCAACCCCCTCCTAGGTGGTTGACAATGTCTCGTGGTGTATTTCATCAGTTCGGACTTCCATTGTCTAATATAATATAAATTGATTTGAAATCCCTGAAAGAATCTGTAAAAAACTAAAAAGATTAACCAAAAAATTACAATTTTATTAAACAAAAAACTGAAATTACATAGAAATAACATACAAGCAACAACCAAAAAATAATACATTGAAATATTAATTTTTCGGTTAATCTTCTTAATTTTTTACAGATTTCAAATCAATTCATATTAAATTAGACAATGAAAGTCCGAACTGATGAAATACTTCACGAAATATTGTCAACCACCTTCAAACAATGTATAAAGTGTTTTTTTTTTAAATACAGATTCTTTAAGGAATTTCAAATCAATTTATATTATATTAGACAATGGAAGTCCGAACTGATGAAATACATACTAAATGGCATGTACTATGTATGTATAAAGTGCAAAAGTTGCAATCAACGAATGAGACATACAAGCAAGAGTGTGATAATTTACTAAAAACTGCCATTGAAGAACTTAAGATAAAGTGTGATCAAAAATTGGAATTTATAGATAAGTTGAAGAAAGAAAAAGAAGTGTTCTATGAAGAGTCTTCGAAAATAGAAACGGAATTGTTAAATTCAATTTGTGAGAAAGATAAAATTATATCTGAATTCGAAAAGCAGGTACAAACTTTCAATGGCAAAAAAATTGAATCGTCAGTACCCAAACTGAAACTAATCTGATTCAACAAAAAATTGAGATGATTAATTTATCCATCTAGACACAAACAGGGTTATTCAGAAATATATGAATCTATGACTTATGCCTCTATTCAAACAGATTCTTTGAACTTAGCAAATAATTTTGACCATAAACAGGACAATCCAAAAAATCACGAAATTAGCCTACGTTATGAAAATGGAAAATAAATGAAAACCCCAAATGATGCTCAGGATACTCAGAAGAAAAAATTGAATTTCACAAATAACTGAATGAAAGGACATTGAGAAATGAAATCTGAAAAAAACAACAAATGAAGAAAATATCTCCAAGACAATGTACTTAGCAAAAGAGATGAACAATGCTGCAGATGAGGAAAAACTGACTACACTCAAATAAGAATATTTAAAGAACATCATCACGATGAGCATGAATAGATGTACCTAACATCTGTGAGACCTGTAAAACCCAGAATATTGATGATAGGAAATGAATATACAAAAAAATTCGTCAAGCATTAAATACAGTAATTAGAGTTAATAGTGTTAATTATAATACAGAATAACAGCAATGTCAGTAATATTAGGCCACTAAATTGAACAATCAGAAATGTTCTACCATTAGGTATCGTCACCGAGCAGAATGTAACTCTCAATGAAATCATCAACTATTCTCTATATTCCATTAACAGATATATGTACATCAAGGAAATAAAGGAATAATTCCATTTCTATTCTCTATGACACAAAGCAAAACATTACCAAATGAATAAAAATTTATCTCTTTGAAAAACTTGAAGGTATGTGTGAAGAAAGGACTGATCACTCAGGCATTTTAGTGTTGACAATATTTTCCTTTGTAACTACGTCTGATGATGGATTTTCTAAAGGTATAATAAAAATATGACTTACTTTGGAACTTTGAAAGATGAAGAGTCGGCAGGTTCAACTGTACTTGAGTTGTCCTGAAATATAAAAAAATATCAGAATCCAAAATAATAAATTTATATGTTTAAAACAGTGGAATTTTTATGAATTGGAATGATGGAGCAATCTAGACTCCAAAGCAGAGATAATAATAGTAACATACAAAATTTCTCAATATTTAAGTTAATTATTTTAAAGGACTCACTGTATCTCGATTTTTACAACCACTGGAAATACATTTGCAAGTACTGCCACAAGTTCTCGACATTTTACGACAGCCACATCTTCCACCAGAACAGTCAGTTTTACATGTGCAGCCTCCTTCAGATGATCTTTTCACAGGTTTGTCTTCTCTATTATCTACAAAAAATGACATACACTTCATTTAAACATCCCTTGACAAGATGAAAATGGCATGAGATGGTGTTGTTTTCTTGATTCTGAGGACCACAAATTAATTCAAACAACTTATTCATTTCATTGATTACATTGACTAGTTGACACTGTTCAGACTGCAATCTTTAAAAAAATGAGTAACGGAGAAAATCTTACAAAATATATAATGTGAGGGTCATCTCTTAATTTAAAAAATAGGATTTTCTTTCAGATTGATTCACTGTTGTTGCATGAGTTCAAACTGATTCCAGAAACAGCGTTTCTGCTCTGAAGTTTGAAATTTATATCTCTAATACGTTGGTTTTGAGAGGCTGTTCGTCTATAGGCTTTCGAAATGGATTAGCAAAATATTGACACACTGTTTCAAAGATTCTGGCGAATTTTCTAATTTTATCAGAAATAAAATTATACCTGAGAATTATCTTCTAATTTGTTTGACGTGGTATCTCTTTTTACTGGCATTCCTGTAGATCCCTTAATAAGTATAATCGAAAGAAAATGGGAAATCATTTCAAACTTTACCACTTTATCCATAGAGCTTTTCATAGAAGTTTTTGAATTCTGAATAGACTCCAATTATTTCTGTTACAAACAATGGATCTTCCTACAAACAAATTTTCGGGTTGGGAATGGGTAATTGTATGTCACCCATTTGTGCAGACTTGGTCGTGACAGAACTACAAAATATATGTATAAAAAAGGTGGCATTTTCATTGCCTTTTTCTAAAAGATATGTTGACGATAATGTTAATTCCATTCCAAAAAATAAACAAAATGAAATATTAGATACTTTTCATAGTTTTCATCCAATACTGAAATTCACTCTTGAAATGGAAGAAAACAATTCATTAGCATTTCTAGATACTAAAATAATCAAAGATGCAAACTGAATTTTGAAGGTAGACTGGAATCATAAACCAACTTTTTCTGAGAGATTTTTAAATTATTTTTCAAAAATTTCAACGAGTAGATAATGTCTCGATCAATTCAACTACAAAAATGTATTATGAAGGCTTCCACGAGAAGTCATAGCCTACAGACATTTATAAAATACGGGAGCAAACATGAATGTGGGACAAGAGAAAGAGAGTTCTTGATTTTCTGGAAGTTGGAAAAATCTGGTCTTGGAAGAAGTTCTAGACTGTCTAAAAAAAACTGCAACAAAAACACTCCTCTCAAACAACAGAACATAATGGTATAGATATCCCGATGACGCCAACTTAGTTTTTGAAAAATGTGACGAACAGAGCTGTGAAGCTCTGATATGTAAAGATGTATATTCTATGCCAAAGATTCCAATTCTACCTTGCAGAAAAAAAGGAGTTTTAGACTGTCACTTCTTTATCTTAAAACAAACTTCCCAAAGTAAGAAAGAAAAAGAAAGAAAGCATTTAAGTTAAAAATAAACCCTTTCCAAAGATGTGTAGATCATGTACAGAAATTACTTTCAGATACAAACTGGAAGAAAAAACAACTACTTTCACATGAACATTGAATTATAACTACTTTCATTGATTTATATGAAAATCACTTTTTTCTCTTAAGTTTCGCAATAAGACACTTGTTTTATTATTTAATATTGTGAAGCGTTCCTACTTTTTACAGAAGAAAACTCTGAAATTCTGAAAACAAAAATTAACACCACAATGCTCAACTTTTCAGTCTGGTCTTCTGATATGTCTCTTCTTTTTAATACAAACATTTTTTCCTTCAGTTTGTATCTGAAAGTAACTTCCATGCATGATGTACGCATCTTTGTACAGAGTTCATTTCAACTACTTTCTTCCTTTGCCAGTTTCCCAAAATGTTTGTTTTAATATGGGGAAGTGAAAACCAGAGAACTGTTTTCTCGAAAACCAATCTTTCCTAAAAATATATACCTTTCATTTAAAAAAATCACTCTTTGTATACAGCCATTCTGTGGGTATGTTCATCAAGAGCATAAACGCGAGCCCTCATCGCTCTATTCTAGTTTCCGTGAGGTAAGCAACAGCATGAATTAAAGAAAAAGTATATGCTTTGACAATATTTCCAACATACTCATATGGAAACACTGTAATGGTGACCTCTACCAGAGATTATTTATCTAGATTATCAATAGGAAAGATATCAACCCTAAAATTTTGTAAATTTTATAACTCTGATTTATTTTCTGCTTCTCGTTATTCTCTTCATTCTTCATGCGTTGGGGGAAAGCTAATGGTTGTTCGCTAATTTGTAAGTGTAACAGATAAGCAACTATAATGGTAGTTTCAATGAAACTTCGTTAGTATTGCACTATTCTAAAAAAAATATTTTTAGATTAGATATTTGCTATATATTTTTCAAGAGCTCTAAACAGCAATAGGAAAAAATTAAGTCGTTAGCTGAAAAAGAACCTGAGAAAATTAGTGAAAACTTCAGAAATTAGACGATGATAGCACTCAGAACAGTAAAGTAAAACTGAAGATGCCTTAGAATTTCAAGATTTTGGAGACGATGAAGTGAATATGTACTCTCAAAGGATGATAGTCAAGATTCAGAGTTAATCTCGACAGACGATTCAGAGTCTAGATAGTTTAAAAATGTCCAACTAAATGACAAAAATATGAAACACCTAAAATGTTATTTATAGAGAAGAATCATAATAGTCACTAGTAAGATTTGGGCAAAATGGATATCGAGAGAATGCAGTTCCCAAGTCAGCACCAAGAAACTGCAGAACGAAATATACCTCATATCTTTCTGGTTCAGTGAATTTTAAAGAAAATCTACTTGTTAACGACTTTTTCAACAGTTTATGATTGATACAATTGAAGTGTAAACAAAGGCTATTGTAATGAAATAATTTGCTGCCCAGTATAAAAAAATCTCCAGTATCACCCACAACTACTACTCCTAACAGGATAAGGTGATTACTGAGATTTTCACTTTTGTTTGCTTTTTGGAATGTAATTCAAAATATTACCATCTGTTATACCAGGATTTTTTATGAGAAAGTTTGTGGAGTTGTATACAAAGCAGATATGGGTCATGTTCATGTTTTTTTTTAGAATATCTACTTTTGACCAAAAACACATGAGGAGAAAAAATATTCGTTGGGATTAATTCATAAGTCACTGCAAAAACTCATACAGACCAAGTTTTTGTATTACTATAGGTGAAAATGCCTTTTCTCCAATATACATAACTAAGTAGGCATCCTAATTTAACCTGAAAATAGTTTGAATATACAATATTTCAAGCCATGCCATATTCGGGAAAATGTACAACAACCTTTGGGGGGATATAATGTAAAAATATGTAAAACAATTTTATAATTAAACAATAATATAATGGACAATTGGCTTAGGTACGTAAAATCAACTGATAATTTACTAGCCCCGCTTTACAAACTTACCAACTATTATGAAGAATAAACGAGCTATTCTGGCAAAAATGTTAGCAACCAAAAATAAGTATACAGGCAGTTTTAAATTTTGATAAGACAAGGAAGTTCTTGTCTGCTATATCCCTTCCAGAAAATAAAATGTACTACTTTCAGTTGTAGCAAGGATATAATATTTCAAAATCTTCATGTAAACTCAAAACTATTGCATCTTTAATAATCGGATGCAAGGTGTAATAAGAACTTCTAGAAAAATTAAAAGATGGCCATCATGTAACTTCTTAGGAATACTGAATATTGCCTGCATAAATAGCTATACTTTATTCAACTCCCAATGTTAGTGTTGTGTAAATTGTGAAGTATTATTTTCACCATACCCATTCAATTAAAATGGATTTACACAAACTAGAAGCCGAAACTTTAGAACACTCTTTGGAGCTATTAGTAAGATTTTGAGAGAGGAACCAGTGCATCCAGCCACCAAAAGACTGCTAGTTGCCGGTAAAAAATAAAAGACATAACTATTCACTTTAACTTAAATTGTGATAAATTATTTTGTAATGTAAACCATAATGAAATTTGTTATGCATATACACGAATTATGAAAGTGGTGTAAGAAGTAAGATCAACATTCCAGGGTAGTTTGTAGCTCAATCAAGAAAAATCATGTAGGCCATATCAGTCAATGATCTCATTTGTATCTCCAGCAGAGTGAGAATATCAAAGGGATTTTCTGTATTATCTGTCAAATCATACTGTGAATCATACCATCCATTCCTGAATGTCCTATGTTCAAGTACAGTTTATTATCATTTTAGTGTGATAAAAACAAGCACTTTTCCCAAACACCAGAACTGCAATAATCTTGTTTACTTCATCTTCTGAGAACGCCAGCTTGGTTGGTAAAACGAACGTCGAGAAACATTTCGCAGTTGTTTGAAAAAAGTGCTTGTTTTAAAATTATTCTACGTCAGGGGTTCCAATTTTTCTTTTCATTAATCTGTTATGGAGAAAATATAGTTTTCACTTCATCTTCAAAGTAATGTTCGCCTTTTATAACTTCTTTTATTCTGACTAACAAATAAAAGTGAGCTCAAAATCTCCCAAATGATTTTCATCAAGGTGGTAGTCATATACGGCCTGGTGTTCCATATTTCTACAGTTAATGACCCTAGCTGTTCATTTTTCAATGCTTCATGATGCATCGGAGGGGGGGGGGAGGTTTTGCTGGAACCTCAAAGCAATAATAATTATCCCAAGCTCTGAAATACCCACTAGACTAATCCCCTATAGTCCCAAAACATTGAAGCCACTTTCATGAATTCTATTGATGTTTGTGGAAGTTTTTGTTTCCACTGTCAACTTAGCAGCTTGAGTTTGTAATAAGCAACACATATTTCATTTCCACAAAATGTCTGATAAAAAATCCCACGCTTCTTCGGAACACCATGTTAAGTGCCTCAAATATTCACCCATGCACTTTTTTTGTATATTCCGTAAGAATTTTGAATAACCTTCGAAGTATACATTGAATGCATTTTTTGCATTAAGTTCTTGTAATATTATAGTGATAATTATATATTTAGCATAAGA